GTCCTTCTATTCCTGTTTCTTTTGCGAGCAAGAGATATAGGCTCCCCTATATTTTTTGCCCTATATTTTTTGCCCGCATCAATATATATATATGTTGATCAGGCATGAATCTCGATGCAAAATCAAGTTGGAAACTTCAAAAACGAGATCAGAGACTATCTGAACTCCGATTTCGTCAAACTTACAGTCGAACTTAACGTATCAAAAATACATACCTAACGACACCAAATTTGGCTCAATCTGAGCCCAAATGAGTCCAAATTAAAGACCCAAAGCGCATTTGGAAGGTTCAATCCATAATTTGAATTACAAAATGATTTCAAAACGTGACATACTTATAGCGAATCGAGTGGCTCGACGAGACAAATCCAACGAGCCCAAGTTCGCCAAATTCTGATATCATTAAGACATTCAAATGTCTAATAAACGGTCTATGATCAAGGGATTCAACATTGGCCGTCCATTCAAATCACTCTCAATTTACCCTTGATCTTCCTTTTATTTACTGATTATGACTCTCAGAAAACAATAAATAAACCCCTCATTTCTCATAGAAGGGAACCCCAAAGGGGAGGAGGAAGGTAGCCCAAGCAAGAAGAGAAGATAAGGAAATAACAAGTGAAGGAAGAAAAGTAAGAGAGCTCTTTTGACACCATACTCTTCCTCAACCACAGCCAGATTTCCACCCGGCAGCCTACCGACGTCGGAGTTCTACCTGAATGCCGACTGACGTCGGATTTCTGCCTGACAACCGACCGACGCCGGAGTTCTGGCCGACCACCAACTAACGCCGAAGTTCTGCTCGGCCGCCGACCTTTGTCAGACTTTTACCCGACGCCGAAGTTTTGCTCGTCGGCGGACTTCTGACCGTCACCGGACTTTTGCCGGTCACCAAACTTTCGTCAGACTTTTACCCGACGCCAAACTTCCTCCTATCGTCCGACTTTTGACCATCGCCGGACTTTCTTTTGACTTCAACTCGATGCCAAACTTTCTCCCATCGCTGGATTTCTACCCGACGCTAGACTTTCGCTCGTCTCCGGACTTCCGCCCTCGCCAGATTTTCGTCGGACTTCTACCCGATGCCGAACTTCCGCTTGTTGCCGGACTTCTGCCCATCGTAAGACTTTCGTCGAACTTCTACCTATGCCAAACTTCCGCTCATCGCCAAATTTCTACCTGACGCCGGACTTCCTCCAGTCGCCAAACTTCTGCCCGTCGCTGGACTTTCGTCGGACTTCTATCTGATGCCAAAAGCTCATTACCAAACTTCCGACCTTTGTCGTCAGCCGACTAGTCCCTCCTACCACTATCACTAGAATACAGTCTTTCCAACCTACGTCGCCCGCCGACTATGGTTCTACTGACCAAATAGATGTATCACTATGTTGCACCGATACGGATATAACACGATACGGATATGGGACACGATAATTCTAAAACATACAGGATACGGATACGACGTGTATACGACATTATAATATATAAATCATAATATCAAAATAAAAGTAAGCATTAAATATTTAAATGTCTCGTACAAAAACAAAAACATAAAATGTCTAGCATATGAAGTTTTTAATTAAAAGTACAAAGGATTGACACAATTAATTCACATGAATTTGAAACATGAAAATTTTTAATAAAAAGTCAGGTCAAGCGGCAGCGCCCCTGTCCCCGGAACAAATTTTTATTGTAAGAGTTTCTTTAAAGTTTTCTCTACCTTCTCGGCATTGCTTGGTACTATTCGGTACCCCTCTGTACCGAGCAGTACTGAGCGGTACCGAGTTCTAGTACCGAGTGGTACCGAGCGGTATTGAGTTCTAGTATCACTCGGTACCGAGCGGTACCAAGTAGTACCGATCAGTACCGAGCGGTATCGAGTACCGAGCAGTACTGAGTTCTAGTATCGCTCGGTACCGAGCAGTACCGACAAGTACTGAGCGGTACCGAGCAGTACTGAGTTCTAGTATCGCTCGGTACCGAGCAGCACCGAGAAGTACCGAGTACTAAGCAGTACCGAGTACCAAGCGATACGCGTGTTCGATCAAATTTAAATAATATTTTAATTGGACACGGCAAAGCCGTATCCGACACGTATCTGTGCCGCATTGGAGGCGTATCCGTATCCGACAAGTGTCCGATACAGCATGCCTCATAAATAGGCGTATCTGTGCAACATAGATGTATCAATAGTAATTCTTTCAAGTCTCATCATATAACACACACTATATGATGTATATTTGTTACATCAGGCTAAGGCCTTCCTCGAAGGAAGGGCCTCATTTGTAATCGACTGCAAATACTAGTGTATTCATTTAAATTGGGCTAGGCCCCATGGTTTTTTCCCTTTTTCAGGTTTTTCACGTAAAAAATCTGGTCTCTTATGAATAATGCGCCTTCTCTTTTCATCTGATTGCATACTGGATCTTCGTACAAAGCTAAGACATTAAAATTTATATTTCTATATCGACGCGAATATTCTAGGATGCAATATTTCTTAATCAATAAATTGGCATATAGTTTTAACTTCAATATAGTCAAATTTTAATGAGAGTAATTCTTATATTTTATCCCATTCTTCGAGCTGTATTGTGCGTGTAACTATGACATTTTTGTTGAGTCAATATGAAGTGATACAGGCTAGACTCCTTACAACACCACTTTCTCCTAGTTGGATTATAAGCAAAGTAAGTCGATTTACCCCAATTCTTATTAGCCTAGTGCCAGAGTACTTGATGCGACTTAGCCTTGATAGTAAGGCTCTCCTTATACTAGTTTGACCTTTAAGTAAGGTCGTCACGGTGACAAGATATCACATATGCTTTCCTTCTACACAACATTATAATACACATACAGGAAAGGAACTTTTATTTCGTCCGGTGAACGTATGCAACTCTACGTTCGGCCGCCAGTAGAATCGCACCACGCGTTTTCATTATTTACCGCGCGCCCCGACAACCTGACCCGGAACAGATCCAAGATTGCTCGGTATTGCTAGGTACTCTCTCTCTCTCTCTCTCTCTCTCTCTCTCTCTCTCTCTCTCTCAAAGGAGTTTGGACGTCGGCTAGGGGTCGAAGGCAGGGAGGAGTTCGGTCGCTAGCTACAGGGATTCAACGGGAGAAGGCAAGGTTCGTCGGCTCTCTGGTTTGGATCGGGCAGAACAAAAGCAAGGGGAGGTCGGGCTGAGGGAGCGAATGGGAGAGAGAGAGAGAGCGAAAGAGAAAGCCGAGAGCATCGTGGGAGAGAGCCTGCTGCTTGTGGAGGTTGAGAGCAGCGAGAGAAGTCTCCATTCCTTCGCTATTTAACGACCTCTGCAGATGCTTGATCGAGGCCGGTTCTGAGCACGAATCCCGGGATCACGGGATGCGTCTCGAACGGCGCCGAATCGGCGTGATTTCGGCTAGGATTCGTGGACCCGATGGATTACAGCAGGTATGCACGCTAGATTTTGGCTTCTTCCCTCTTTTTGTTCTTTTGGGTATAACATGAAGGTCAACGGTAATCGACTGCAAATAACCAAATACTAGTGTATTCATTTAAATTGGGCTAGGCCCCGTGGTTTTTTCCCTTTTTCAGGGTTTTTCACGTAAAAAACTTAGTGTCTCTTATGAATAATGCGCCTTCTCTTTTCATCTAATTGCATACTGTTTCTTCGTACAAAGCTAAGACGTTAAAATTTATATTTCTCTATCGCCACAAATATTCCAGGATGCAATATTTCTTAATCAATAAATTGGCATATATTTTTAACTTCGATATAGTCAAATTTTAATGGTGTAATTCTTATATTTTATCCCATTCTTCAAGCTGTATTGTGCGTGTAACTATGACGTTTTTGTTGAGTCAATATGAAGTGATACGGGCTAGACTCCTTACAACACCACTTTCTCCTAGTTGGATTATAAGCAAAGCAAGTCGATTTACCCCAATTCTTATTAGCCTAGTGCCAGACTACTTGATGCGACTTAGCCTTGATAGTAAGGCTCTCCTTATACTAGTTTGACCTTTAAGTAAGGTCGTTACGGTGACAAGATATCACATATGCTTTCCTTCTACACAACATTATAATACACATACAGGAAAGTATGTTTTTGAGATGGAATTCTTTCTACACCTCTATGTATTCCAACAACTATTAGAACTCTCAAACCTCTTCACACTGGATGTAGTCTACAAATTTGAACCATTAAAAAAGTGTGGTGGCTCAACTTTCTTCATTGCTCGCACTCTTCCTCTGCTTATTAGGAAGTATCTCGGCTTGACGACTCAATCTCTCATTCCTGAACGCTCCCTCCCAGCCTTATGCCATTCATTAGCCGTTGGACGAGAAATCAACATTCACAGGAACTTAGGCGGCGGAACAAGTTTCTTTCTTTCCCATTACCTTCTTCTTGTTTGCCTGACTAGTCTCTTCCTTCCTCTACCTATTTTCTTTTTTTTCCTTTTTTTCTCTTCTTTCTTTTGTTGGGTGCTTGGGACTAGACTTTGTTTTATTTTTAGCATTTTGGCATCTTAATTAAGCAGGATATCAAGGACTGTCTGTAGTTAAGAGGAAGCACATTGCAATCGCTAGTAGCAGCAAAAATTTCCTCTGCTTTCTACTCCTAGGTGTTTCTGATCCATACTTATTCTTATATTTCTCCCACTGGGTTTAGTCCTTTGCCATACCTAAAACTGTTTCTGTAGTTGCAACACATTTTAAAACAAGTTAGAATGAGAAATGCAATTCTGAAGATTCTATTTATCAATGGGTGCTTTTGATTATTTTAAATGATGGAATCTGAGTATATCAAATATTGTGCTTTTTGATACTACTGAGAAAAAAATTACTCGTCTTGTCCCAGATAGAATTAAACGGATCTAGTCTGTTTTTTTTTTCAGCGGGTTTTCATTTCATTAATCATGCGTCTTTTACTTTATCATGGTCGTTGTCATCATCATCTTAATTTTCTTCTATATCCCTAAACATATCAAGCCTAAGAAGTGTTAACTGGAACAGATTTCTCGTAAATGGACACACCATATTACTACTGTGTTGTTCTTTGGCTTTGGGCTTTGGTCCTTATGGGAAGCATTCACTGGAGACGGGTATGTTTAATTACTATCGTTTTGAATAATCTCAGCTTATTGAATATTGATTGCTTTTTTTTCTTTGTTAGAGAATCTGAAGAATTGGCCGAGGTGGAAGCAAAGCTGGTTAGTACATGCCTTATTTGGTATCCCTAATTAATTAATTGATTTGTAAGTAACATATTTTATATTTTCATTTTAAATTTTTAGGATGCTGACTGGAAGGCTGGTGCTGCTGGATCCAAAGGAACTTCTAAGGTTTGTTTACATTTATAGATAGGCTAAAGGTACTTTTATGCAGAAGCGTTACACAAGAATGAATATGATGTGCCATATGGTACCACAGAAGTGATCAAGCACACATAGAATACCAAATTTTATGTGGTTTAATGAATATTTGACTTTGCCCATAGGTGAGGAGAGGCCACTTAACACAGCCCCTAATGTCGCAAGGAAAACTATACAGAAATTAACTTAAGACCTCATTTGTTTGCTTTAAGTTAGGAATCATGTTTTAGAAAATGATAATTTTTTTTTCAAATTCATCATTTGGTTATGTAGTTAGATGAGAGCATTGATTTTAAGCTTTACAATCCTCCTCAAAACTCCCTCAAAGTGTTGTTTTCATTTTGACACTCAAAATGAATGAAAACCAAATCATCACTTTCTGAAACTTGTTTTGTATTTGCAAACTTCCACATAAACCCTAAGAGTGATAATAAAGAAAATAGCATTTAATTAAGGTAAAAAATTTCCACTTCAAAAGTTCCTCTAATGGGTGTATTTATATCTCTTTATGGATTCATCTCGAAATTTCTTGTGTGATGGTACAATTGAAACCTATAATTCGCATAACTTTCAATTTTCTCTATTCTCCTAATTAATTTCCCTCCCTTTTTTTCTCCAAAAAACCTTATGTCACTTAACGCCAAAGCCTTTGGCCAACAACTTGCATTTGCCTCATGATTCCTTCATCCCATAAATCTTTTCTTTTCTGTGAACCTTTAAGGACGTGGTTTTAATTTCAAGTCACATTCAAATTTGAGCTGAAGTCATTGAAAATAAAAATTATCCAAACAAACTTTCAAATGAAAATTTTTTCTAAAATGAAATTTGTTGTTGTTATCTAATAACTTCCTGCTTTTAATTTGTGCATGTATTGAGTCAAAACTCAAAAATATTTCCATTGCTTGATAACGAAACAAGAATCCGAATCTCCTCTATAACTCATGGTGCTTAAGCTCCTAAAGTCCTAAAAATCTAAACACTGCACTATCTTGTAAATAAGACGTATTTGAATCTTACAACGCCCACGATAGATCTCCAAGACACATTTTGTCCCCCTTAACTTGTGCCTCATTTTGTACCTAAATCTCTCATATAGCAAATAAGTTTATCCTTTTTTACTTCTTCAAATCACGATGGTCAGACAAATCTTATAAAATTGAAATAGAACCATTCAAAGTTGCACTATATACGCGTATTTCAGTCGACTTTATTCAGCTTCATGGCTATCAATGAATCTATATACGCTCTAAAGACTTCCACATCTTCATGTATCACTGAGAGCACTTAAATATGTTTGACTTTCTTAAAATTTGTTCATTTCTAACTCCAGCCAAAGTCCTAGTTGCACCATCATGTGTCGTCAACTTGGCAATGCAAGAACCAACTGTGTTTCACATAATATTATTTTTCATATAGACATAACCACTAGAGCATAACTTAAAAGTGGAAAACAACTATTAGGCCATATAATGTAAGATGAATCCAAAATTTTCTAATTATTGTGATTAAGTTCAGTTTTTTTTTTTCACAAGAGTATCATTTATATCTCTAATTTAAACCAATTTGTAATAGCACTAGCATTTGTTGACTTGTTCTTTTTATGGTTGACATTTTTATGTTGCTCCTTTCTCTTCAAAGCATGGCAATCACTATTAATATTCCCTATCTTCTTGTAATAGAATCAAGCCACATCCTTGTACTTACCATGAGATTTACTCCTGCTATTTTTAACGATAGATATCTTTTCAGATCTCCTAACAAATAATGTCTCAACTGGTTTTTCATCTCTTATATCCTTGATCTTAGCAATCACCTTTTTAGAAAGAAGCAATTTTTTAAAGTTCTATAAATTTATTGCATCTTTCTTGATACAATATAATGTCACAAAATTCTTATGAGATAACACAATATTAAGAAAACTTTATTCCATCATAAAAAATCATTTCAATATTCCTTAGATCCGGAATACTGGAATTAAATGCATTCAAATGTGATTTAAGAGTCATATATTTTTGCATTTGGAGTCGATGCAATCTTTGATTCTAATAAAGTTTATTGGATAGGCTTTTTATATTGTATGAAGTGACTTCATTTTAAGCCACAAACCTTCCATGGTTGTTTATTCCAAGACTTCTGTTAAGACTTTATATGGCAAATAGTTGATTTATTGAGTGAATTTTTTCATTCATGTGTGCCTTATCCTCTTCATTCATATTCTTTTGGCATATTCGTATGCTCCATGAATGCCTTCGCTGGCCCTTGTTGGATTAGAACACCATGCATATTGGCTCTTTATATTTTGTTTAGTCCTTATACTTCATAATCTTAAATTTCATAGCTATTGTATTTCTCATATCCTGACCCTTGCTTTGATACCAATTGTTAAGAAAAATGTCTAACTTCTCCATGAAAATATCACTAGAAATGAAATCGAGGAGCTACAAAGTAGACCTTGAAAGGATAAGCACACAGAGAGCGCCAATAATAATGTTATTTGGAAAATATTTGCCTGCATTCCTGAGAGAAATCTGATTCACTAAATGAGAAATCACAAACAATTTACAAATAAAAGGATACTCACCAACCCTTTGTACAACATAAGTACACCTAATCACACAAAAAATAAAGAAGTGTTAAATATCTCAATAGAAGCTAAAAGAAAGAGGATCAAATTAAGATCATAAATCATTACTTCAAAAGTTCCTCTGAAACGTGCTTTTATATATTTTAATGGATTTGGCTCAAAATATTTGGCGTAAATGTGCTTTTGGTTCATCAAAATAATGCCCCAAACTCACTATCGAAACTTTCCAACTAGCTCTTCTCTTTCTCTCCTTAGTGTATTTCCCTTCTTTGATTTTTTGTTTCAAAAACCCTCCAGCCACTGACATCGTATCCTTCAGCGACCAATTTATGTGCTTCCCAATGATAGCTTAAACCAAATAATCTTCTTTTATTTGTTTGACTTTAAAGAGGTCTCTTTAAATCCAAAAAGGATCAAGTTTAACCTAAAATTATTCAAAATAATAAATTATCATAACAATCTCATCGAATGATGTTCTCACTAGACATTTGCAAGAGGTTGTACCCTGGTGTATGTTTTTTGCTGATTATATTCTTCTTGTTGATAAGACTAGAGATGGAGTTCAAGGTAAACTTGAATTATGGAGGTCAGTCAACCTTAGAGTCTAAAGGCTTTCGTTTGAGTAGATCTAAAACTAAACATATGGAGTGTAATTTTAGTAAAAATAGATCTAGTGGGGGGATTGTGACTTTGGGTGATCAAGTTATTAATAAGAGTACATGTTGTAGATGTCTTGGGTCTATTGTTCAGAGTGATGGTGAAATAAATGGGATATTATTAGTAGAATTCAAGTTGGATGGTTGAAGTGGAGGAATGCATCGTACTTGTTGTGTGATACAAAAGTCCCTCTCAAACTTAAGGTAAAATTCTATAAGATGGTAGTGAGATCTGCAATGCTTTATGGTGCAGAATGTTGGTCATTAAAAGAGAAGCATAATATTAAGTTGAGGGTTGCAGAGATGATGATGCTCAGGTGGATGATAGAGGCACGATACGAAATGAGCATATACGTGAAAAGGTTGGAGTAGCTCCAGTAGAAGATAAGATTAAAGAGAGTCGCCTTAGATGGTTTGGTCACATAAAACAGCGGCCTTCTGATGACCAGGTTAGGAAAGTAGATGTATTAAATTTGACTTATGTTAAGAAAGGTAGAGGTAGACCTAGAAAGACTTGATTAGAAAATATTAGAAATTACATTTCTTTATTAGATTTAGATGAAATTTTGACTCTTAATAGAGCACAATGGAGAAAAAGAATTCATGTAATCGACCCCACATAGTGGGATAAAGGTTTGTTGTTGTTGTTGTAACAATCTCATCAAATGACTCAACCACTTGCACCCTTTCTTCTTACTTGCATGGTCGTAGAAGTGTAACCTGTGTGTTGGCCTATGATAGCTTAGTTTAAGGAGTGCAAAGTACTTAAACATTACACTAAATGATTTGCTAATTAATTACGTAAAAAGTTTGAACAATGCATTATTAACCCTTGTTATGTAGCATAATGTGCTGCAGATGGGGATGGGTAGAGCGATAGGCATACCATTGTTGCTAATCCTTAAATCTCTTGATGCTCCTTATTCTTGTTTATGTCGGACTTTGTAATGAGACTATTAAAATCTGTTTATGATGTCTCATCACATAATTTGACGTAGAGAAACAGTTTTTACTTTCTTAGTGCCTCAAAACTGTATTCATTGAGCTAATAATGTGAAAGCAGAATGAAGTTATTTCAACAGCAACTTGATGATGTTATTTTTTTTCCCTATAGGATAACGAAGACTTGAAAAAACAACAAAAGATATTTCTGACACAGTTCTTCTCCCCTATCTTTTTGAAGGCAAGTTTTTCGGATTCCAGTCCACATTATATCATTTAACCATAAGGCCATGATTATAACCCTTTGGTTTTGGGCAAATTAGTAGGTGCGGGACACTTGACAGAGAAAATCATCCGGATTTCTCTCTGTTTACAGTAAAAGTGCAGCTGCTACAGTAACTACGTTTTTATTGTAGAAAAATTCGGATGATTATCTCTATCCAGTGTCTGCACCTAATAATTTCTCCTGGTTCTGGCCTATCTTTCTTGTGTTTGAATTTACTGCCTATTAATTACTTGCAGGCATTTTCCATTACATTCTTTGGTGAGTGGGGTGACAAGAGTCAGGTAACTCTCATGGAATTTTTTTTTTTCAAAATTTTTCTATTAAATTTATTTGAGATAAGTGTAAAAGAAAATTTAATTCATATATCACACTTTCTCAAAACAAATTCAATAAATTTCAATTTCATCAAAATCCGCATTTTTTTTCCTTTTATTTCATTCTACCTCTCTATATATAGAGAAATTATTATGTGTGGATACCGGACGGTCCGGAGGCCAACTAGAACGCACTACGTCACCCTGTACTGAGTGGCACCGAGCAAAAAAATGACGTGGTACGTTCTGATTGGTTTTCGGACGCCGTCCAGGATCCGCATAGAATAATTTTCCCTATAGATGAGCAAACTCCTTTCTGTCATGCCCCCCCTTATAACTCCAAGAAAATTCCCTCAGATTGCTACGATTGGTCTCGCTGCAGATATGGACCCGTTTGGCGTAGTCCTCGGTGGAATCATGTAGGCTTTCACTTCATATGTATATTCATATCATATCTTATTCTTACTGGAATCTCTCATGAATCCCTTTTGTTCCAGAGGACAAGCCCTGTGCACCACCGCAGCAGTTTTTGGAGGAAAGAGTTTGGCCACCCAGATTTCTGAAAAGATGGTAATAACTCTTCCAATTTACTGAAAACTTAAGGTTTCGTTTGGAAAAGCTTTCTTGTTGCTTTCTAAAACAACTTTTTAATACAAAAATTTGTTGAATTAGAATATTTTATACTAGAAAATTGTTTTAGGAAGCACTACGAAATCTGCCCCAACGAAGCCTTAGGCTTCATTAGGAACAGCTTTCTAAAGCAGCTTCCTAGTAAAAAAACTTCTAGAAAGCCACTTTAGAAAACAATAAGAAAGCTGTAGGCTTCATTTGGGACCGTTTTTTAATTGCTTTTCAAAGCAGCTTTTTAGCCCAACAAATTTTTGAAAACAGTGGCTATAAGCTGTCCAAAATAAAACCTTAAACTTCCAATTAAATACATGATGGATGATTCTGACGATTCTTCAATCCCAATCCCTCATAAAATCACAGGTTTCTCTCTCTAGTGGAGTACTCTTCTTAGTGTTTGGTTTCCAGTCCTTCCTCGCCTCCTCTGCAGCAGCAGCAGCAGCAGCAGAGTTATGATTCAAGATTTTGTCAATCAAAGCCAGTTTTTATCTCTCTTCAATGGAGTCCACAATATTGAATGTGAAGGTTTTTTTCCTCATCATCATAATTTACCTCACCCCAAACTCTACTGAAAAATAATAGCAATAACAATAATAATTTCCGGTCTAAATGAAAAGATCTGGATGTACAATTAGAATCAGTGGATATTAATCACAGAAAGTTAAATTTAGGCTTTGCTTGGGACGGCTTTTTTATTGCTTTTTTATTTAGTTGACTTAAAATTTTTGGTGATAATTAAGTATGAATGAAGATTTACATATTAATACATAAATATATTAGAATTCTATGGCATACACAAATTGTTTTCATGTAAATCTCATGCATTTGGTATATATTTTTAGTTGTTTCCATGTTTAAGAGGCTATTATTCTTTTAGGGGATGTTTGAATTAAAACAAAAGAGGTGTACTGTATTTCAAATGCAATGGTTTGAAAAACTTTGATGTTTTGTCTGAATTAAATTAAATGTAGTGCAAAATTTTGGTGTATTTTGAATTTTTTTTTTTTTTTATGTATTTGAAATTATTCATTTTTGAGCGATTTTTAAATACATTGGAACTTCATTATTTATTGTCGTCCAACACTATTGCTGGTCGTTGCCACCCTGGTCATCTAGTGCTGTCGACCGCTACCGTTGCATGTTGCTTCCCTTAGCCACCTATACCAGTCGCGACCAATACAAGTCGCAACTATCACTAGCTACCACTAATCTTGTTATATATCACATTGCATTTATTTTATTTTAAATCAAATAAAAATAATAATTTTTTAAATATATTTTAAATAATATTTTAATTAATACTTCTTAATTAAATCTTTAAAAATAAAAATATAATAAAAAAAAATAAATTGCCTATGTACCTTTAATTAGTTTCTCAATTGAAAGATCAAATTTCATATAGTTCAAAGAGAAGAAACAAAATAATATATGAAAAAAAGAAAGGATCCATTACTCTTTAAATATAATAAAGAATATGGAAATCTTCAAAGAATTGATTAATATTTCAACAATCCTTTGCTCCAAATAGATAACCCAAAGCCTTAAAAAATGTGATCAAAGCAAGCTTTGGTGGAAGTCATATGAAAGCTCAAATTAAGATTAGAGCAAAGTAGCAATTGAATATTGTTACATATTAGAAAATTTGTGTCGGTAGAGTTAGTATTTTATATCTTAAATTTTGATAAGAATTCAATATGTTTAAAAAAGGTTATAGAATGCAAAAAAAATTTTATATGTAAAACCCAAAAAGAGAAAAAAAAAACTACAAAATCCGTCACAATTGGATAGTCCATTATATATCACAAATTATAAGGATCCTCCCCTCATTTGAGGATGGGATTATTTGAGGGAAAATATTTGATTTCCATTCTAGAGACTATAGAATTGGGTGTTTAAATGGATAATTAAAACCCAACAACATGGTTAAATTTTAGAAGTCTGCTGATGGTGGTGGCAGTTGCTTGTGGTAGTTGTCAATGTTGATAACTGAAAAAATGCAAGAAAGCTCTATAGTATTCTTAGCTCTTTAAAATACCTCCCACTTTGTAGAAAATATAGCCTTATTTAGGGCAAATTATTGTGTCCGGTGTCCGGACGAATCAGGACACCAATAAAAGCATGCCACGTCACTCAAAAATACCGGGGCCCAGTGCATCCGGGTGAGGTGGCGTCTCTGGATTGGCTGTCTGCATGTCAGTTGACCAGACGCAATACTTTGTCCTTATTTAGAAGCTTTTTTAGATGGACATTTTGGTACCATGATGTAAAAACTTCATCGTACTTTTTATATCAATCTCCTTGATTGTAAGATTTTATCAAATATTTGAATACCTTAATGATATCAAAATCAAGTAATATTGTGCTCGTTAAATTAGTCTCATTGAGTTGCTCGATTTAATTATAAGTATAATATAATGGGAAGTCAAAAGGTCCATTAATTTATGTTAAAAATTTTCAAATATAATTCAAGTGCTTGATTTGAACTCATTTGGAGTCTGATCAGATCACTTGTAGCGTTGATAAGTTAGTCTCATCGAGACATTCAATTTGACTATTAATTTACTAAAATTGGAGTTCCATGATCTTGAAATTAATTTTTGAAAATTTTAATTTAAGTATTATCTCAAGATTCATATCAATCATATGAATTTTTTGAAATTTTGTCATAGGTCAGGCAACACTTTGCCTAAATAAGTATTATCAAGATTCATATTATTTCATATCTTGTCTCTAAGAGTAAAGCCATTCATCCACCTGAACATCCTCATCTCTGCGGCACTTAACTTAATATCATGCATTGAGCATATAATTATTATCATATTACTTGTAATGATAAATTTATTTATTTGATATATTTATAACAAATTTTGAATTGACTAAATAATATTTAAAATTTATAATATTATTCAAAATTTAAATTTTATTAACGTGCATTTAATGCACGTGCAATTATACTAGTTTACAAAAATATCAAATCAAAATAATAAGAACTAAAAAAATGAAATGGGTCTGCCACTTTATTTTTAAATTATAATAATAATTATTATTTTTTATCATATGTACATGTTGAACTAAGTCTTAATGAATCTGTTCAGAATTGAGATCAGAATCAACTCTATTAATTTCTACATTTTTTTTATGAATGAAAACAATATGAATTAATTAAGAATTGAACATTAATGAAATCTTTTATTATTATTATTATTATTATTCATCCTAATTGTGTTCCAATATTCAATATTTGAGAATTAAGCCTTATTTAAAGCACATTTTTAATGTGTTTATCATAGGGAGATTAACTTTTTTATCTATTTAATTATATATGATATTAAGATTTATTTTTTTTTTTTAACTTGAAAAAATACTAAACCAAATCAAACATAAGAAAAAATACAAAATATGTCAAAAATTTTAATAAAAGAAAAAATATATAAATCATAGCATGGGGGTATTTTTATTCACTTTATTTTATATTATTGTAATTGAGCAATCCTACACTTAAAATGATTTTATAGAATTTTGATCGAATTAATAATTTAATTATTTTGCTCTTATCAACAAATAATCCTTTGGAAGATTTATTATCAGAAATTGGTCAAATAATTTGTTATTGCTATTTTTTTTTTGTTTTAAATCAATTTTTTAAATAAAAAACATTCTTCATAATCTGATTATATTTTAACCTAATTCAACGGTCATATTCCCTCAAAATTTCCATTGCTGCTCCTTCCACTCGTAGGTGATAAGATCCCCGTATAGACAAATGTGCTCAAGCTGCTAACCTAAGCGAGCCACAAAGAGTTAACATATTCCCATTTATTTTATTTACTTATTATTTTAAAACTTTAGCGGGTCTACACATTAATGAGTTTAGCATGTCATATGAAATGACATATTCCCGTTAATTATCACAAAGTGGAGTTTTTTCTCATCCATCAGATGCTAATGCGTGAAAATATTTTGATCGGACACATGCTTCATTTGCTGCTGTGCCATATAATATAAGATTAGGATTATGGGTTGATGATTTTACTCTATACATTCAGGAAGCTTCATCATATTCTTATAGGTCTGTTATACTAACGCCATATAACCTTCCACTAAAATGTGTATGACTATCTCGTACATATTCTTAACACTTATAATACTTGGACCACATAATCTAAAAGCAAAAAAGTGATATTTTTTTGCAACCATTAATTAATGATTTCAATTTCTTATGGGAAGGTGTCCTCATATATGACATTTCAATCAAACAAAAGTTTCTCCTTAGAGTTGCATTGCTTTGGATCATTGACGATTTTTAGCTTATGAAATGTTATCGGGTTGGAGCGCAACAGAAAAATTAGCTTCCTCTTATTGTATGAAGTATACTAAATCTTTGACACTAAAACATGGAGGAAAAAATACTTGATTTGATTTTTATCGTATGTTTCTACTTTTTGATCTTCCATTTAAGAGAAATAAGGATACATTCATCATAAGAAGAGTTGAGAGGTCACTTCCTTCACCTAGATTAAGTTATTATATATATTACAGAGACTTTCTGATATTTCATCAATTATTGATTTCTCAACATTATCAAAGTGTAAATTTTCGGGATACAGTGTTCAACATAATTGGATTAAAAAAATTATTTTCTTGATATTATCATATTGGAGTATAAATTTGATAAAACATAATATGGATATTATGCTCATTGATATCGAAGTTTATGCTACAAATAATATTTATTCTTGTTCTTCTCATTGTGCATAACATTCAAATTATATCTTATTAAATTTGTACTACAAGATGAGACATTAAATGAGAACAAAATGTAAAATTATTTGTATATTTGATTTTATAATTATGGGACAAAAGCAAAAAAGAAATTGTATAATAAATTAATTAGAATTAAAATTATTCAAATAAGATTTTAATTATAATAAACATAGGGTGTAATGCCCTCAATCGAACATAATTTTTGCTTAATTGATCTATGCTGATCTAATTTGTATTAAGCCGGAACTCGACTCAAGCTATTTGAAGAACTCGAGCTCGAGCTCGATGCTCAAGCTCAACTCGTATGCTCGAGCTCGATAAGAAAGCTCAAAATTGACTCATTTTGAATATCATTTTATTTATTTTTTAATTTGGATAGAAAATCATTAATTAGACTAATATAAATATCGATGCATTAGTTAATATTAATCAAACCAATTTGACAGCAAACGAACCAAGCTGGACTATACTCGGGCTCTTGCTCGTATAATATATGAGATCGGATTTAAACTCGTAGCTTCATAAGCTCGACTCATCAGCTCGTTAGTAAGCCGTGTTCGAGTTAGTTAATGAAACTAACTTATCTCGCACCTCTAACGATAAATTATAAATTTATTACTTTTATTTTAAAATAAATATAATGTAAAATTTGTTAATCAATTAAGTATTATTTTAATTTTAAAATAAATTTAATATATATAAATTTTATTCCATTCAAAAATTAAATAATATGATATCAGCTCAATGCTGCATGTGACAGAAATTGATACAATTTACGGCAATGCCACTGAATCCTTAATCTAAATCCAAAATTGAGCGAGACATTGGGTCTCATCACTCCTGTGGTACCTAACAGTATTTTTGTCCCCTGGATCTGCAAATCAGAACCGTCAAAAGCTTTCCATGCCATTAACTTGACGGTTCAGATCTCTCCTTGTACATAGACCGAGTCTTGGATAAAAAAAGATAGGATTGGTCCATTTGAAGTTCCAATCAATCACTATTTACCAACTATTTGATGATTAGGGGACAAGGAACCAAAAGGATATAGATAATAAAAATCAATTTTAATTTTTTTTTTTAAATTGCTTTAAGAAATATGAATTTAGGAAGAATAATTTTTTTTAATTGAGCTTTCGTGCATGTTTTTTCAAGTAAATAAACACTGAATATATTTCTCCAATAATATATACTATCAGGCACATAAAGTCAAAACTCACTATCTATAATTAAATATTTAATATACTTTCTTAATTTTTTTTTCTTAATTTTATGTATATATGCTTTTTATTAACACTACTGTTGTCATGTCTCAAGTCCTGGATGAGAAAAGTGGAGGGTTACGTTAGGTAGTTGACAACCAGCGTAAATCTTGTCGAATAATAATAACATGAATCCTTTAAGAAATTGTGTTAATGCTAGGGCGTCTCGTGGAAGTGATGCGCTGTATAGCCTGAATACAATGACAAGTGTACAAGGGTTGCTGCACCGGCGCCCGAGTGCAGTGTTAAATAGGCAAGGGTTCCCACATTAAGGACGGATGTGGGCAAAGAAGCTAGTCCATGAAACGAAAATTAGGATAGGAACTTGGAATATATAAGTTCCCTTACAGGAAAATTAATAGAATTAATATATATTATGATTCATAGGAAAACAAATATTTTGTGCATTCAATAAACTAAATGGATTGAAGAGAATGCTAAGGAAATTGATAGTTATGATTTAAACTTTGGTATTCGGGTAGAAGTCGTACTAAAAATGGTGTCTGTGTTATTATAGATAAGAGTTTGAAGGATAATGTTATAAAAATTAATAAGATTAGAGATAAAATTACAGCTTTAAAGATTATTGTTGATGATAAGATTGTTAATATTATAAGTGCTTATGCTTCTCAAGTAGATTTGGATATGAGTTCTAAATTAAATTTTTGGAATGACTTAGAAGAATTATTACAAAGGATACCTCTAGAAGAAAGAGTTTTTATTGGAGGAGATTTAAATGGACATGTTGGTAGAGAGATAGATGATTTTAAAAACATTCATGGTGGCTATGATTTTGGAACAACAAATGAAGGTGGCAAGATCATATTAGATTTTTATTTAGCTTATGATTTTTCAATTGCTAATACCTTATTTAAGAAAATGAATGAGCATCTAAAAATGGATATAGTACAACCCAGATTGACTATTTTCTTATAATAAAATTAGATCGTTTAGATTGCAAAGATTGTAAAGTTATTCCGAGTAAAAATTTATGTACCCAACATCGATTATTAGTTTTGGACTTTAAGATAAATGGGTAGATAATAAAAAATAAAGTAAAACAATATTCTAGGATTAGATGGGGGTATTTGAAGAATATTAACAAAAATATTTTTGAGAGTAAGATTTTATCTGTGCATGAAGATGCTAATATTATGTAAAAAAAAGTGGCTAGTGATATTAAGAATATTGCAAGAGATGTGCTTGGAGTATCAAAGGGAAAATCTCCTAATAGTAAAAATATTTGGTGGTGAAATCCAAATGTGCAAGAAAAGATTAAGAATAAAAAATTTGTTAAAGCGAAGAGTTGAGGATATTATCAGCAGAATTCAAGTTAGATGGTTGAAGTGGAGGAATGCATCGGGCTTGTTGTGTGATAGAAAAGTACACCTCAAACTTAAGGAAAAATTCTATAAGATAGTAGTGAGGCCTGCAATGCTTTATGGTGCTGAATGTTGGCCATTAAAAGAGAAGCATAATACTAAGTTAAGCGTGGCAGAGATGAGGATGCTCAGGTGGATAAGTGGATTTACCCTTAGAGATAGGATAAGAAATGAGCATATATGTGAAAATGTTGGAGTAGCTCCAGTAGAAGATAAGATTAGAGAGAGTCGCCTTAGATGGTTTGGTCACATAAAACGGCAGCCTTCCGATGACCCGGTTAGGAGAGTAGAGGTATTAGATTTGACTTATGTTAAGAAAGGTAGGGGTAGTCCTAAAAAGACATTGTTAGAATATATTAGGAATGACCTTTCTTTATTAGATTTAAACAAGAATTTGACCTTTAATAGGACATAATGGAAAAAAAAGGATTCATATAGCCGACCCCATGTAGTGGGATAAAGGCTTGATGTTGTTGTTGTTGTATATATGCTTTTTATCTCTATCATCGAATACAAGATCTCTTGATGGGGATAAAACTATGACTTGAAATTTAATTTAATGCGTCCTAAAAAATATAAGCCTCTTGATTACTTTTGTCCATCCTAACAAAAATATTAATATACATATTTTTTTCTTAAATGTTTAGTGACTGAGCATGATTGCTCGCAATTACATACCCTCTTCTTATTTGAACCCCTGATCTTTTAGATGTAGGCCTAAGCACCAACCACCAAGTCATGACACAAAGGACATATTCAAGCTTTCATGATCACCAATCAATCCCTCTGATCCCTACACCTTCATTTTACATTAAATTTTGTGACTATGTGCCAATTAAATTCATAGAATCATATATAGATCTTAAAAGGCATGAACATAGGTTTAATAGTTTCTTTAAGATTTCTATATAAATTAGTTTTACATCCAAAAGCCTCAATTAGTCTTGTTAGTTATACTTATTGGTATGATGTTTTGATGTGAATCTTAGGACCGATGGCCCATGGTTTTCCCTTGTATGATGGTTCGAAGGACCAAAATGTCCACAATCAAAAGGGTAAGAAGTTTTCATTATCCACTATATACATCATCCGGTTATAAAAATACTCTTCCTCCTCACTAGTGGAGTTAATTTGTGTTAGTAGGTTGTGTTTGGATCAGACATGAAATTAACCTGATTACAATATGCTTGAAAAGAACCCAACCTCTTTATTATAGAGTCAAAATACTTGACCCAAATACGACTCATTTGATTTATTTAGATATCATAATTCTTTTGATCAACATGACGCATTGAATTGGAAAATGACCAATTTAATCTGAACTAGTTTTGTTTGACTAAAACTCGAAAGATAATGAAGTCAATTTTGAGTCAATTTTTGGATATTTGGGCAAACTCTAACTCAACTTGAAAATTTACTCAGATCTAAATTTTAGGCTCGAATCTGACTTGAAAATAGTTAGGTAAACTTAAAACTGGATTTTTGGAGTCAAGCACATGTTAGATTGTCATATGAAATCATTTATTGGAACTCGTCCTCACAATATGAGTTCCTGTAAGGGATCTTGGTGAGATGTGGTGCATTTCTTCTCGTTTGCTATTTTCTTTTAAGGGGTCTTTTGAATAATTTTGTAATATTTTTCTATTCATTGGTGAATCTAAAGTATCATAGTGCATAAGAGTATAATTTCTTAGATAATATTTTTACGCAGCTCATTCTGATCTGTTAGTTAGAAGTTTTGACTTTCAACCAAGATATATTCAGTTGGAAGCTTACCTATGTGAGTGTGAGTGTGAGTTTCCTTTAATTGGCTAAAAAAAGATAATTTTTTTTAAAGAAACTCAGAAGTAAGATTGACTCAATCATTTTTGGCTTGCATTAATCTTCAAAAATAAAATAATTCTTTACAAAGAAATATTTATTATTGATGATGTGTTGTTCCAAAGTTCTAATAAAATTACATATTATCCTAATTTTTATATAAAAAAATCTCAAATTTTTTACATGTAAAATTTCTCTCATAAATTATTCTTTATAAATAAGATTCTAATTCAAATTGAGAAATATATATAATTAATATTAACCATAAATTTATGACAATTCATTAAGAATTACCTAGAAATTTATTTTACTATACTTTTTGCAATTTTCTTAAAATACAAAGCTATAGATATTGTTTTTGCTTTTGACTATTAAAAATTAATTTATAATTAAATTTAAAATTTTATATATAATTTCATAATTTCTGTAAGCATTCCAAAAAAAAAGTATGGGGCCCACTAACCATTAGGCCGATATTCTTATTACCGGCGAATAATCGAAACGTACCGGTGGCCGGTGAAGTGGTCCGACCGAACAAGAAATATAAATCCAATCTCTGCAAATTGTTCTATCTGCGATCGCGGTCAAGCGAAGAACGCCGAGAGAGAAGAGAAGAAGATGGTGGCGCCGCCACCGAGACTAGGATCTTTCCGTTATCACTTCGAGCAAAAGAGCAAGGAACGCTTGCCGCTGCTGTCCAATCTGAAGGGCGTGGACTGGGATGATCTCGACGTAGATGACGACGGAAAAAGCCGTGGATGTCTACACGGATTGTGGCACGGGATCGGTTGGTTCTGGGCCCAGGTGCGTATGGCGGTGGCGGTTGGCTTGGAGTTCGCGCGATCGGACTTTCGGAAGGTGGTCTTCGCCGCGAAGATGGGGCTTGCGCTTGCTCTCATCTCTCTTCTTATCTTTCTGAAGGAGCCTTTTCAAGATCTCTCCAGTCACTGTGTTTGGGCTATCCTTACTGTTGTTGTTGTTTTCGAGTTCAGCATCGGTAAATCTTCTTCCTCTTCTTTTGTTTGTTCAACGTGCAATTTGATGTGTCCGTGATATCAGATGAGACAAAATTGAAGTAGGAAAACAAAGTTGAACGGAACAAACGATTAAGGGGCTTTTTGGCTGCAAGAAAGATTTAGTTAATATTGTAGATCCAGATTTAGCAAATGTTTGAGCCGTTTAATTGCTGAAAATTGTTTGGTAGTTAAATCCTTCTAAATTTTCTGGAAAATATTCTTTTAAAATGTTGGATATAAATGAAGGAGAAGCAGATAAATGGTGATGAGAAGTAGTATAAGTTTCTTAAATCCCTTTTTTTTTCCAGGATTTAAACTAACATGGTAGGAAATGGAATTTTAGGTAGTAGGATTTGTGTGGCTAAAAAATTATTTGGAAAGATTTTGCTTAATTCCTTATTAAATTTTGGTCAACTTTTGCAACTAAACAGACCCGTAAAGTTTACAGTTTTTTTTTTTTTTTTTGGGATTTTCTTTTGCTTTCCAAGCCAGTGCTTGTGTAGTTGAGACAAGGCTTGATGAATGTAATGGGTGAATCTCTTTTTAGATAATCTGATGCTTGGTGATGTTTATGTGCCCGATGGTTTTGTTCTGTTTCTGGGTGATGGTTACAAATATGTACTTGATCTGATATTTGGATCAGAAGAAACCGACCCTTTTTCTTTTAAATTTTAGGCTGAAATTTTAAAATTGCTTTGATATTTTAGTGGTTATTTGTGCAGGTTCGACACTGAGCAAAGGATTAAATCGGGGTTTAGGAACATTATCTGCTGGAGGGCTGGCTTTAGGTGTAGCAGAACTGTCCACTATGGCGGGAAAGTGGGAGGAAGTAGTGATTATTGTCAGCATTTTTATCATAGGTGCGACATATTCTAAATAACATGATCTCTTTCGTCTTGTACTTTGATTTCATGAAGCCTGATAGTTTGCTGATATGACATGTTTTCTTGGTATTGTTTTTCAATGCTAGGTTTTTGGGCAACTTTTGCAAAGCTCTATCCTACTATGAAGCCCTATGAATATGGGTTCCGTGTATTCTTGCTCACATTTTGTTTCATTCTGGTTTCTGGACTAAGAACAAGGGAATTTGTTCATACAGCTGTGAGCCGATTTCTGCTAATAGCACTTGGTGCTGCTGTTGGTTTGGGCGTGAATATCTGTATATTTCCGATTTGGGCAGGAGAGGATCTCCACAACTTAGTGGTGAAGAATTTCATGGGCGTAGCAAAGTCCTTAGAAGGTTTTTGTTTGTTGTCTTACTGTTATTTCATTCTGATTGTTTCCATTAATGCTATTTTTTATGTAATTAACCTGAGCATGTTTTTCTTTCAATCCTATCAAATCAGTTATAGCTAGAAGACCACTTAATTATACTAAAAGTTGTGAGGGTTTTATATATTTTAGGCTGCGTTAATGGATATCTTAATTGTGTTGAATATGAGAGAGTCCCCTCAAAGATTCTTACATATCAAGCTTCTGATGACCCTTTGTATAACGGCTACAGAACAGCAGTTGAGGCAACAGCTCAGGAGGATTCTCTTGTAAGTTTTGCTGAAATTTAATCAACATCTACAGGTCTTTCAGATCTGTATATTTTTGTTTGATCCCTGCTTTGTTATCATCAGTTAGGTTTTGCAATATGGGAACCACCCCATGGTCCTTACAAGATGTTCAGATATCCTTGGAGAAGCTATGTTAAAGTTAGCGGAGCATTAAGGCATTGTGCCTTTATGGTTATGGCACTGCATGGTTGTGTATTATCAGAGATTCAAGTAAAATACCATTCTACTACTTTTTGTCATATAAACTTTAACATTTAATTTGTGAATTCATTTTCAAAGAATTAAGGGGTATGTTTCGTGCTTACATTTTATGTTCTCTGGATAAGATATTATATTTGGATCTTTGAATGTATGTTCTTTTACAGACAAATTAATGGAACTAAAAGATATTATGATTCATAGGAAGATAAATATTTTATGCATTCAGGAAACTAAATGATTTGGAGAGAAGGTTAAGGATATTGATAATTTAGGATTTGAACTTTGGTATTCTAGAAAAAATCGTACTAGAAATGTTGTAGGTATAATTATAGATAAGAGTTTGAAGGATAATATTATAAAAATTGATAGAATTGGAGACATAATTATTGGTTTGAAGATTATTGTTGATGCTAAAATTTTTAATATTATAAGTGCTTATGATTCTCAAGTAGGTTTGTATATGTGCTTAAAATTAAAATTTTTGAATGACTTAGAAAAATTAATTTAAAAGATTCCTCTTGAAAAAAGAGTTTTTATTGGAAGAGATTTAAATGGACATGTTGATAGAGTGGTAGAGAATTTTAAAAGTATTCATGGTGGTTATGAGTTTAGAGTGACTAATGAAAGTGGTAAGATTATATTAGATTTTGCTCTAGCTTATGATTTTGTAATTGCTAATACTTTATTTAAGAAAAGAGATGAATATCTATTCACTTATAAGAATGTATATAGTGAAACTCAGATTGATTATTTTCTTATAAGAAAAATAGATCTTTTAAATTACAAAGATTATAAAATTATTCCGAGTGAAAGTTTATATACCCAACACAGTTTATTAGTTTTGGATTTTAAGATGAAGGGGTAGAATATAAAAAAATTAATGAAATATTGTCTAAGATTAAATAGGGACTTTTAAAAAACGTTATCAAAAATATTTTTGAGAGTAAGATTTTAGATTTTAAGATTTTGTCTGTGCATGAGGAAGTGAATATTATGTGGGATAAAGTAGCTAGTAATATTAAGAATGTTGTAAACGATCTGCTTGGAGTTTCAAATAGAAAAACTCTTAATAATAAAAATAGTTTGTGGTGGAATCAAAATGTGGAAGAAAAGATAAAAAATAAGAAGCTTTTTTATAACAATTGGTTTAGATGTAAAAACTCATAAAATTGAGAAAGATATAAAGAGTCTCGTAAGGTGTCTAAGAAAGCAATCTGCGATGCAAAGGTTTTTGCTTTTAATGAATTATATAATAGATTAGATTCTAAAGAGGGAGAAATATATATGTATAAGTTAGCCAAACAAAGAGATATTAGTAGTAAAGATTTAGTTCAAGTGAAATACATTAAAAATTTAAATAAAAAAAGATAAAAAAAGAAGATATTCAACAAAAGTGGATGAGATATTTTGCTAAGCTTTTCAATGAAGATTGTGAGAATATGATTGACCTTTTAGTGACTTTAGCACTTTAAATGAAAATAAAGATTTTTATTTTTATTGGCATATCAATAAAACTAAAGTTTGAGAGGATTTAAAGAAAATGAAGTGTGAAAAAACTAGTGGACTTGTTGATATTTTGATATAGGTGTGGAAATGCTTAGGATATGAAGGAATTTCCTAGCTTACTAAACTTTTTAATATTATTTTGAAGACTAAAAAGATGTCAGATAAGTGGAGAATAAGTGTATTAATTCCCATTTTTAAAATAAAGGTATGCACAAGATTATGCAAATTATAGAGGAATTAAGTTGATGTGTCATACTTTAAAATTTTGAGATAGAGTTATGGAGCATAGGTTACGACGTGATACTAATATTTCTCAAAATCAATTTGGATTCATGTCAGGTAGGTCGTCTACTATGGAAGCTATTCGTTTATTGAGAGGGTTGATGGAGAAGTTTAAAGAGACTAAGGAGGATCTACATATGATGTTTATTGATTTAGAAAAAGCATATGATAAAGTTTCAAGAGAAATGCTATGTAGAGTTCTAGAAAAGAAAAGGGTTAATAATGCTTATATTCAAATCATTAGGAATATGCATGCAACTCTTACTTGTATTCAAACACAAGGTGGTTTGACCAAGTATTTTCCTATTTCAGTTTGATTACATCAAGGATCGGCCTTAAGCCCTTATCTCTTTGCTTTGGATGTTCTCACTAGACATTTGCAAGAGGATGTACCTTGGTATATGTTTTTTGCTGATGATATTCTTCTTGTTGATAAGATTAGGGAGGGAGTTGAAGGTAAACTCGAATTATGGAGGTCAACCTTAATGTCTAAAGGTTTTAGTTTGAGTAGATCTAAAACTGAATACACGGAGTGTAATTTTAGTAGTAATAGATCTAGTTGGGGGTTTGTGACTTTTAGTGATCAAGTCATTAATAAGTGTACTCGTTTTATATATCTTTGATCTATTGTTCAGAGTGATGGTGAAATAGATGAGGATATTATTAGTGAAATTCAAGTTGGTTGGTTGAAGTGGAGGAATGCTTCAGGTTTGATTTGTGATAGAAAAACTCAATCTTAAGGGAAAATTTTATAAAATGGCGGTGAGACCTGTAATGCTTATGGTGCAGAATGTTGACCATTAAAATAGAAGCATAATATTAAGTGTTGCTGAGATGAGGATGCTTAGGTGGATGAGTGGACTTACTCTTAGAGACAGGATATGAAACGAGCATATTTGGGAAAAGGTTGGAGTAGTTCCAGTGACAAATAAGATTAGAGAGAGTCGTCTTGGATGGTTTGGTTATATAAATCATCGGCCTCCTGATGACCCTGTTAGGAGAGTAGATGTATTAGATTTGGCCTATATTAAGAAAGGTAGGGGTAGACCTAAAAACACTTGGTTAGAAAATATTAGAAATGATTTTTTTTATTAGATTTAAATGAGAATTTGACTCTTAACAGGACACAATAGAGAAAAAGGATTCATGTAGCCAACCCTACATAGTGTGATAAAGGTTTGATATTGTTGTTGTTGTATTACTTGTTTTTAGAGTGAAGATTTTGACTATTGGATTATACTACCTAGCAGAGCACTGCAAGAAACATGCTGATTTGATGCAGCGAGAAGAGAGGAGGCATTACAGCTGCAGCAGTAAAGGCAAAATGTTGCAAATTTGTGCAAATAGTGTCATCATTTTTGCACGGGATTATGAGATGTTTGAAGCTGGGTTCTGGAATAACATTGTTATCTTTGTGATGGTTAGGATTGGTAAAGCAAGTATACTGTTGTTTCAGAGTCGTTGCAGTTGTTTCAGTAGGCACATATTTGCAGTTGTGTGAAGTTGGATTTGGTGTTGGACTGGTAGGTTGTTGATTGCAGTGTGGAGGCTTTAAGGTTGTATTGGATGGTTTACAGCAGTCAAATTATGAGAGGAAATCCGAATTACTTCTTTGACATAATACTGAAATTTGCAGTGTAGATTTTCATATTTATAAGTAAAGTCTATTGCTGTTGGCCTTGTTGCAGGGATTGTGAAGGGAGTAGAGGAGGGGGGGAGGGTGGTGCTTATTGAGCGAAACCGATCTCTTAGTAGGGGTTAGGAGAGAAGCCAGCGATTCTTTCCAATAGCAGCTGAATTTCATTCAATAAGCATCCAATTAGAAATTCAATAAGCATCCAATTAAATCTATAAGTGAATCCTATGGATTCTTACATAGAAAGTGTCCTTAAACGGACAAACATAATGGTGTTGACAAATAGATAAATGTCTACTGAGTCTGACTAACATAAAGACTAAAGCATGATGATATACACCATTATGTATTTGTAAGCACAACAAAAGTTGTCTCATGTTGAAAAGCTCTCATCTAAGGACTAGATAACAAAAAAAAAGTCGCATTTGTGAGTTTGCATTATGCATGCCCTACATACATAGGCATCTTGACTTCAAAGCCAAACTAGAAGCCCTACTTCTTAAACGAAAATAGCCTTCTCACTCTACATTTGCATTAAAACCGGACGACATGATTTTAAAAGCGGTTAAGAGGGTCTAGCTGGTAGTCCTTTCCAGGCAGGACAATAAATTCAGAGGTCGGGCCGATTATGCCTTATGTGAGGTGTAATTTGTAAGCCCATTTGCATTTCGTTAGATTTAGGTTCGAGGCACTATCTATCGGTAGTCCTCATATTGGTTTTAAGGTTTGAGGCAATAGTTGATTTCAAATCACTATATAAGCCCTCATCTTCTGGGCAGTTCCTCCAATATGTATTGTTGGAATGTAAGCCCCAAACTTCTAATGAAAATGTCAACTTAAACAAAAATTAGATCTCTGAAATATTAAGCCCAACATAGGATAGTCCGAGCACTTCTGAAATTTCTCAGAATCAAGTGCTCTTACTTCACCTCCCTTGGCTCTCATTTCAAATCTAATTCTTAGTTGATGTTTTCACCTCCCTTGAAATTCCTAAAGGTCAAAACCTTTAAGCAAGACTTTCACGGATTCTAAAAAAAAAAAAAATCAAACTTTAGCCAATGTCTAAAACGACTTTCCAAAAAAAAAAGAAAGAAGAACACTAGTTTAATCAAAAGTTTTCTCAAGCATCAAATCTTGGGATGTAATTAAGCCCCTATGGGACGCCTGTATCCCAGGATAAATTAAACACCATTCGACTAAACATCGAATGGGGGAATCTCTGTTAAAATTGTAAATTTTATCATTGAGTCCATAAGAAAATAATATTTTTCTCCTTCGGGGTAATATATCATCATTCTTATGTCGTACTCAATCATAAAGTATGCAATCCGTTTGAGGATAACAAAAAATTTTCTAACATCTTTCACTTCTTTTTAGTATTCTAAAGATTCTCACAAGTTCCTACACTTTCATCCTGTTGTCTCGCACTTCAACAACTCTATAAAATTTATCATAATTCAGTCACTCACTTTTTCTCCACACTAACACCAAAACTTTCACACCACAATCCTTAATCACGAGTGATACTCAAACAAGGAGAGGGGGTAGAGGGGACAAGATGGTGGGAGGGCGAGTGCATAGGCTTTGACTAATTAATTAGCTAATAGGTTGACAAATTTATTGTCAAATATATTGATTAAATGATTGATCAATTAGCCTTCTAAAATTAGAATTTTAAGGATCTTGAATTGGCTTACTTTTCATCACTAGTGGATCTTCAAATAGGCATTAATTTGAACCATCAAGTTTGACAACAAATAGGCGGATCTACATACATACCACATAAATTTTTTATTTACATAGCTAACATCAAAATATTTATAGTTATGTATATAGAACTTAAAATTTTAAATCACATAAAAAACACAACCAATATTAAAATTTCTAAGATGACATACATAATTTCATGCATATATTTTGATGTGATGTGATTGAAACAATAAACATCTAATACAATTACATATAAAAATTTATATGTTAGATATATAAATACATAAAAAATATGTGATAACTATGTTAATCTCCCAAGCAAATATTACATATTCCGTTTATGTAATATTAACCTTTCTAACTTTAAAAAAACCAAATAAGCCCTGCCCTTCGTGGAATTTGGTGCAGGAACAGTAATCATATTCACATATTCAATCATCAATTTGTCTAAATAGCTTCTATTTTATCAAAAAAAGAGCATTCATCTCAACCATTCCAATCTGTTTTTTTTCTTAAAATCTTTGCGATCCCTAATGACACTTCACCCGCAGGCTCCTCCAGAAATGAGGCAAATTTTTCGCAACGAGCTTCAGAGAGTAGGCATGGAAGGCGCCAAAGTTCTGCGGGAGCTGGGAAACAAAGTTAAGTCAATGACAAAACTAAGCTCCACAGATATCCTTCTGAATCTCCATGAAGCAGCCGAGGAGTTACAGAAGAAGATAGATCGAAGATCTTACCTTCTTGTCAATGCAGAGCTATGGGAGATCGGAAAGCGACCCGAAGGATTGGAAGTCGATCTCGATGGCGTCGCCTTCACAGAAAGACTACACAAGCCTCTAGTCATCAAATCCCAAAGTGAAACAGTTCTTGATCTCAGATCACTCCATCTCTCCAAAAGCTGGGATGTTCATAACACAGGCTTTAATCCCTCTTCCCAAGTTCCAACTGGCTTCCCTGAAGTTAGGGGTGTCAATATTGGACCCGACCCGAAAATTTCGCTTAACAACGACGAGGTCGTCCATGAAAATTATGGCCTGCTCAAACAGCAAATATCATGGCCTGCTCGGTCCCTTAACATCGACGAGGCCGTCCATGAAGAAGAGTCGAGGACTTACGAGAGCGCGAGCGCATTGTCACTATCCACTTTCGCTTCACTTTTGATCGAATTCGTCGCAAGGCTTCAGAATGTGGTGAATGCTTTTGAGGAGTTGAGTGAAAAGGCTAAGTTCAAGGAGCCTATAAATGAACCAAATGCAGATTCTCCTTCAGGTTTATGGACCAGTATTAAAAGGCTTTTTGGTTGCTGAAGAATTTGTATATCTGAGACTGATAGTTCATTTGCAGAGTTTCAGGTTAGATAACTTCAACTGCTGTTGGGTGATTGATGTTTTTTTGTTTCTCCCTTCAGTTTATTCTAACTGACTATTATTCCATTTATATATATAGTACTGTCTTGAAAACTATCACAATTGTAACACACGAACATATATATATATATATATGATAAACAAAAATATTTTTTAATAATAATAATAATAATATAAAACTAAAATATCCCCTTAATAAACATATTTTATTAGATGTTTAATATGTTTAAATATTAAGAAGAAAAAAATTATATTAGAATATGCTAATAAAAACTTTCAAAAAAATTTTAAATTATTTTATGATACCTATACTACATAAATAATTAATACTAAACTTATTTTCAAAAATACATGTGAGAGTTTTGAGATTGATCATCATTTTGTTAGAATATTTTCTTGCAAAATTTTAAATTAAAGTAAAAATAATCCTAAATAAAATGTAATAATATTAATAATTAAAAAATTAAATAAAATATCAAGCTCATTTTAATTTATTAATTAGGAACTTAAACATTCAATCAAGAGGTTTTACAGGTTAAGATATTCTATATACTATATATAAAATTTCAATGATGGTCAAAATAAAAAAAATATATAAAATAAAATTTAATTTTTATATTATTTTTCAATAATGCTCACTTCTGTTTTTCTAACGCTCGTTCGGTCATTCCCTGAAGCCCAACTCCCATCAATCCAACTGCCCATCGCCTCCCTCGACATCTCCGCCCTCTCTCCCTCCCAAGCTCCAAAGTGCGATCTCTTCTCCTTTCTTCACCGTCTTCCATTCTCCTCCTCTTCATCATCCTCATTTCCCTTCCACTCGATCTTTCATCAATGGCGCTTCCCTTTGCCACATCCTCCTCCGCCACCGCTGCTCCCGGCAATCCCCTGCTTTCCTTCTCGTCTTCAATTTCACCCTCCATTCCCGCTCTTCCCAGCCGCTGCCTCCTCCCGCGCCGTTCCCACTCTCGGACCGCAACTGTGCGCGCCAAGATCCGCGAGATCTTTATGCCGGCGCTGAGCTCCACAATGACCGAAGGCAAGATCGTGTCCTGGATCAAGTCCGAGGGCGACCGCCTTTCCAAGGGCGAGAGCGTCGTAGTCGTCGAGTCGGACAAGGCCGATATGGACGTCGAGACCTTCTACGATGGCATCCTAGCCGCCATCGTCGTCCCTGAGGGCGAGGTCGCCCCCGTCGGCGCCCCGATCGGTCTCCTCGCCGAGACCGAGGACGAGGTTGCCCTAGCCAAAGCCAAGGCGCAGTCTCCAGCGCAATCACGGACGGCTGCTGTATCTGCTTCTCCGCCGTCTCCGGTCGCAGCAGCTCCCGTTGCTTCACCCTTGACCGTGCCAGCCGAGGGATCGAGGAAATTGGTGGCTACACCCTACGCTAAAAAACTCGCGAAGCAGCACAAGGTGGATATTGGCTCTGTGACAGGGACCGGGCCCTTTGGGAGAGTTACTCCTCAGGATGTGGAGCTAGCTGCTGGGATCCAACCTAAGAAACCTTCTCCGACTCCTGTCGCAGCTCCTCCTTCCGTATCGAAAGGTGCCGCTGTTACTCCCGTTGCAGAAAAAGCTGCTGCGCCTGCTGCATTACCTCCAATCCCGGGCTCTACAGTGGTGCCATTTACGACAATGCAGGCAGCAGTGTCGAAGAACATGTTGGAAAGTCTATCGGTGCCCACATTTCGGGTTGGGTATCCAGTGATCGCAAATGCTCTTGATGCACTGTATGAAAAGGTAGAATGTTTATTATACTTAGAAGTTAGCATGGGGGATCTAGGAAGAGTTCAGGGTCTGATTTTTTTTTTTTTTAATGCAATATATATTTTAACTTATTTGTCCCCTCAATATATATATTTGTCCAAAATTCTATCATTTTTTTTTGTTTCACTCCTAAGATTATGCATGCCTTAATCCTATGTTTTCCACCCTCAAAAAAGAGAGGTTTTTTTTGCTGCTGGTAGTTAAAAATGCTACTCTCCCGAAAAATTACACTTAAAGGTTGGGTGTGATATTTATATCACATTTACACACAAGAATTAAGATAATATCATTTGAATTGCTCATTTACTCACTTTTAATGCTATACACAGTTTTCTGAGAAATCATTACATAAGGATGAGCTATGTATTTAGAGCTACAGACAACCAATGAAGATAAAATACATAGTTGGAGTACAACTGTGCTAAATGTAGCTTAAGTTAGCTCAGGATACTTAGCTTAGGTTATCTTAGGATATGTACACCAATATATTATATATGCTTGGTTCAAATTAAGCTGGTCTGACTCACCCAAGGTTCAACTAGCTAGAACTTGCCATGCCACCAATTCGACTGGAGCATTGAGAACTTGCCAGAGCATACTCAGCTCCAAGGAATATAGGACTGCTCACCCAAAGTTCAGCTCCCTTGCATTAATCCATCTAATGAAAGAATTAGTAACCTACTTCATATCGGTTGACCACTTTAATCCAACCAAGACTTCAGCTAATAAATGTAACATAATAAGGCGCAATCCTCCCTAGGAAATAAAGGTATATTTTCTTGTAATATTAGTGACTCGCCCCCAATAATTAAATTTCAAAAAGTCATTTAGATTTTCTATATATTTTCTGTAATGCAAACATTAGGCATGGGCCTATAAAATAGGGGGCCTGAAGGGAGGGTAGGATCATTGATTTATTGGTACTGAAGTTCTATACCTATTAACAATCTAACAAGTATTCCCTCTCTTTCTCTATATTATCTATCAATCTTGTATGGTATTTTGAGAAAGATTCAAGAGTCACCTCCTGATCAATTTGGATTCAACGTAGTACAAGATATTTTTTCTTGTATTGCAAAACATTTTCATCTAATTGTAAGTCATTCTTCTCTTTTACACTAAAATTATAGAAATTTATTTTTATTAAAAAAATAATACTTTTTGTAAAATAGAAGAACTGTCTTATACTTCATGAATAAATGTCTTGTGCACGGTGCTAAATTTAATTAGGGATACCTCGAGTAAAATTTTCCCCATATATGGTTCTTGTGTATTCTAAGGCTAGAATTTCTGCAAGTTGCATTGAATGCGTTAAGTTTTCAGGTATCCTATCATAGAAAATCTGCTGCAGGGATTAACTGCGGTCTATAACATCTAGTTATTCATATTTACTTTTTTTAGTTGATTCCTGCCTCTTGAAATGGATGGAAAGTTATAGATTTTATTTGATGATTTCTTAAACTGGCTGAATTCTCAGGTCAAGTCAAAAGGTGTGACTATGACTGTCCTATTGGCAAAGGCTGCAGCAATGGCACTTGCACAGCATCCGGTTGTTAATGCTAGCTGCAAGGATGGGAAGAGCTTCAGTTATAATAGCAACATCAATATTGCAGTGGCTGTGGCAATTGATGGTGGGCTTATAACTCCTGTTCTCCAAGATGCTGATAAGGTGAGTTATGAACTATTTTTTGACATTTGACGGCATTTGCTTCAACTTTACTGACTGAAATGGCTGACGGATGTTGCAGCTGGATATCTATCTCCTTTCTCAAAAATGGAAGGAACTTGTGAGCAAAGCTCGATCTAAGCAGCTCCAGCCCAAAGAGTATAATTCAGGTTTATCTATGACTGAAAAATGTCACTTCTATTCCTTTGAAGTTCCTTGAGGTTACTTCATACTGACCTGTGATTTGAAATAGGAACATTTACCCTGTCTAACCTTGGCATGTTTGGAGTTGATAGATTTGATGCTATTCTTCCTCCGGGTCAGGTGAGGTTCTTGATACATTAGGCCCAGTTTGTTGTGATATACTTTTTGGCATCTAAATCGCCCTGTATTGTTCAGGGGGCAATTATGGCTGTGGGAGCATCCAAACCAACAGTTGTGGCTGGTGCTGATGGTTTCTTTACTGTAAAGAACAAAATGCTGGTAAGTAGCGCACTCCTTCCCTTTTTAAATTGAATGCGTAAGTGTTATATATATTACAGCATAATCTTATGTGCTTCTTCTTTGTTTCCAAAATAAGTAGTTGATAGATGGAATGAATATAAAATAATTTAAATGAATAGGATTAGTGATAGTCTTATTGTTCTTAGGTTTATTGGTGTGGATATTATATTTGGTTCTTATGCTTCTCATGCATTGTTTGCTCAACCCAAAGTACATTGTTTGAGATTTATTATGGGGCAGGTGAGGTTCAAACTCAAGTTTTTTTACGACTTTCAAGGCTTTAATCAGTTGGGCTAGCTAACACTCTCAACTAATGCTCCTCAATTGCATTAAAAGGAACATGAATCAGTTTTTGCACCAAAAAAAAGATGGAATATTACAATGTATTCCTGAGGAATAGAAATTGATAATTGTGATTTAAATAGAGATATTGCTCTAATTTGAATTACAAGAGGTTTTATGGTGGGTATGTATAAAATGAGTGATAGAAAGGAGATTGAAGAAGTTATATATTTTATATGTGTATATGATCTTATAATAATGATAACATACTTTAAATTCGTGAGTCAACTTGAGTTACTTTAATAAATGAAGCTATTAAATCACGATATACTTTTGTATTTTTTAGATAAGAAGAATCTTAACTATTAGGTGGTTCAAGAAGATAGCTTGAACACGTATGATAAAGTAGAAGATATGGAGAACTATAAGGAAAGAAAAAAGAATTATGATTATTGGTGGAACTTAAAAGCTAATTAGTAGTTAATCTCTCTCTCTCTCTCTCTCTCTCTCTCTCTCTCTCTCTCTCTATATATATATATATATATAAGAGGCCAATTATAACTTTAAAATTGAATCAAACTTGATATGCGAATTTCACGATTTTTTATATTAAGAAGATTGTTAAAGAAGTCCTAGAGATTTGGTGTAGTAAGGATATATAAGAAATTGTCAAAGAAAATAAATTTATTTTTAAAGAATGATAAAGCAATTACTATTGAGACATGCAATAGTTATAATGACGCCAAAAGATTTATGAAAATTGTAGCAAAAACAAAGCTCTTTCTCTTTGGGATTTTCCTAGTGGGCTAGGTATTAAGAAGGAAAAAAAAGAGATTTATAAGATAGCTGAGGCAAAAGGAAGGAGATATAGTGACTTTGATTAAGTTATTTGTATAAAGAGAAGGTTAAATTATCTTAATGTAAGATGTAGATATGAAGGAATAATGAAAAAATATATATAATTTAGAAATTATTATCCAAAATTTTAGGTAGAAGTTTATTTAGAGGAGCAAAATGAAAATTTTAGGAGTAAGTTATAAAAATCAATTGGCTTTGAATAAGATGCACTGAAATAGTGCTAATAAGATGCACTAAAATAGTGCTATTTGTTGAGATGATAGAATGATTGATATTTGGAGAGCTATAAAACAAATTTGAGTAGCTCATGTCTTTTATCATACCCCTAAGGTTAGTATAGGAAAAATGATGGGGAATGAATAATTTTCATTCAAGTATTTAGGAACAAAAAAGAGATTCAAGATGCTCGTGGTTATAGAAACATCAAATTTATGAGTTATATGTTGAAGTATGTTAGTCAAATTGACTTTGTGCTAAGAAGTTTTGGTTTTTGTGCTTAGGTAATTAATGTTAAAACATTTAAAATTAAGCACTTTTAAGCTCTTATTACTCTTGTAAGGTCATATGATTATCATAATAGAGAATATTTGGTGGGCATTATGCAATACTATGTATATTGGGGTAAGTAATCAGGTTAATGATAGAAATGGGTTGGGTCAGTTGTAGATAAAGAGTCAAAAGATAAATTGCTGAGGTTAATGGGGTCAGTAATAAGGCGGTTGCTATTAAGATAATCATCAACTAAGAAGTTATGAATGTGGTTAGTGTTTATACTGCTCAAGATAGATTACAAAATAGTTTGAAAAAAAAAAAATAAAGAAATAGATGAACTAACACAAGAAATATCTGTTGAAGAAATAATATTTATTGGAAGTGATTTAAATTGGTAAACAAGCTGTAGTAGATAATTCATGACGGTTATGAAATAAGAGAGAAATATAATGAGAAAAAGTTATACTTGATTTTAAAGTAGCTTATGATATATTAATGGACACATTTTAAATAATAGGGAGAACAATTGATCATTTACAAAAGTGGAGTTATCAAATCATAAATAAAATTTTCTTATTTAGATGGAAAGAAAAATATTCTTGTCAAATTGCAAGTTCATTCCAGGAGAAAACTTGTGATATGGTTGAGGTTTGTAAAAATTTGACAACAAATATTCATTGCTTGATTAAATGTTGTCCAGAAGGCCCAATAAACTATTTTATGATGAGTATTAGCAGGGGTGGAACCAGCCCTAATTTTCAGGTGGGGGGACTTATAAGGCATATCTGTCGGGGGTCCAAGGGGGCAGCGCCCCCTGGCGGGGTTCGACCTGCCCGGTCAAGTCGCGGGGTCAAGGGGAACAATTTTGGTTTGAAGGATATTTTTGGAATTCAATGATGAATTCTCTGACTATTTGTTGGGGGAAATTACCTAAAGACCATAGTATTTTAAAATTTTTAGGGGGGGGGGCAATTGCCTTGTAATAAAGACTTAAAAATGAACTAAGAGGGATATAAATTACCTTAAAAATCATATAAATAATTTTATTTTAAAATTTTTTTTTTTGGGTTGGGGGGGGGGGGTTTTTTTTTGGGGGGGGGGGGGGGGGGAGCAATTGCCCCCGCTGACCCCAATGGGGTTCCGCCCATGAGTATTAGTATTAGCTTTATATCGAGAACCACATGTAAGAGTAATTCAATCTGCTCCAGCATGGAACTTACTACTGCTAGCACTTTGTCCTTTGATATGCAACTGATCTACAATTCAAGAGGTACATCGGTTTTCTCAATCAACCTAGATGTCGCTAGGAAGCCCTCAAAGAAAAGAACTACAACAAACACTCACAAAACTCATCAATAACATGCTTCTAAAACCCTAGACAACTCCCCCTTAAATAGCCCTAGAACACAATAATACAATTAGAACATTCCTAATCAACATAAAGATAATTTAGAAAACTTTTCTAAATAAATAGAAATTTCCTAATCAACATAAATATAATTTAGGAAATCTTGCTAAATAATTAAACACGATTTAGGAAACATTCCTAAACAATTAAACATGATTTAGAAAACTTTCCTAAAGAATTAAATATATTTCAGAAAAACTTAATGAACAATTAAACACTTCTTAAATAGTATAAATATAATTAGGAAACTTTTCTAAACAACTCCCCCCTTGATTAGGAACATCCCTAAATAATTTCCCCTAATGAGGAACTTTCCTAAACAATTTTCTCTTGATTACGAACCTTCCTAAGCGGCTCCAACTTCCTGAATGCCCCCCCCC